TTAGCTTGGTTTGGTGAATTGCATTCTCTCATGAGGTAATAAGAAGCATTAGGCTTGGCAGAGAATGCTGTGGAAAACAAATATCACAAACTGGTAAGTTTTTCCATGCTTTGTTCAATGCTATGTACAAGGGTCTACATAAAGTCACGTAACCTTCATCAGAAAACATTAATTAAGTAGGGGATAATGAACTGAGGGAGTTTATTTTTTGCGATAATGTCACACTGACTGTACGTTTTCCTGCTTATTACATGACCATGCACCAAATAAATTTAATGTGTGGTCATGAAATATTGATTTGAGTTGAAATAGTTTTATAATTGTAGCCTATACCTGTATGTTAAAGCCTCCACTAAGAAAAAAGCAGTCCACTACAACGTACAAAACATTTGGCCTAGAAATAAGACAAATTTATACTGAAGTCTTCTGTCTGAGGTTATCTTTAATCAAACCAAAGAAAGTGAATCGGCAGTTTGATACGAGAGATGTGCACGTTTACAGTTTGTTTTTGTTTTTTTTAAATGACATGACGTGTAGGCAAGTATGATGTCCCATACTCGGAATTTGTGCTCTGTATTTAACCTAGCCAAGTGCACACACACACAAACACGCCGTGAACACACACCTGGAGCAGTTGGGAGTTTTGTGTCTTGCTCAAGGGTCTCACCTCAGTCGTGGTATTGAGGGTGGAAGTGAGCGCTGGTCATTCACTCCCCCACCTACAATCCCTGCCGGTACCGAGGCTCAAACCCGTGACCTTTGGGTTACAATCCCACTCTCTAACCATTAGCCCACGACTGCCCCCACAGTTTACTGTTTATTGTTTTTTCAGTTGGAATCCTTGCTATCTTGGATTTTGCGTAAGGGTGAAAGATTTCCCCACACACATATTTCGCAACAAGTTCCGCCTTAAAATTCAGAGAGCTGGATGGCACAACTGACCAATCAGAATTGAGTATTACAGAGAGTCGTGTAATAAACAACAATCGATATTAACATTCAAAGGATATGACTGCAGTGTACTCAGGCTTTAGGTAATGTGGTCTTGGCTTATGGGTTATTTTGACAAAAATGTATCCAAGAATCGTGTTTTGTGAATCATGAGTAATCAATGTAATGTTTCCAACTGATATCATTCAGAACTGTCTTCATTATATGATCAAATAATTAACCAGGCAATTTAAAAAACAGTATATATATATATATATATATATATATATATATGTTTTTTTTTTTTGCCAAATTACTCTGCTATAGTGAGCTTTTGACATAACCTTTGTTAAATGGCTAACTTTTACGATCCCCTCAGTGTAGTAAAACAGACCTCTGCTGTAAATTCATGAAGAGTCTGAGGTTAAAAATTGGCCATAATTTGCATCCTTATTAACACGATATTTAATTATAATAATAATTATTATTATAATAACGATAATTATTAGCTCACAAATATACTACATGGAATATGAACTCATCTAAGCAGATGATTTGCTATGCAGAGCACCTTATCTAGTCCAGTGTAATTTGACTGCACATTTTGTGCAATACATTCCTGTTCAGTCTGTAAAGCCGCTATATTATGTGTTATGTCATGAATGGTTTCTTTTGGTTCTAACACAAAGTTTAAGGTTTATTTTGGGAGCAATTCAGAATTCCATCTGTAGAAGTCATCTGTTTTCCTGGACAAATTTAATCTAAACTGGAAAATGTTTTCCCTGTGCAAGATAGAATGAATTATGTTTCCATATTTACCGTAATAATGGTGAACAAAACAAAAGAGTTTAAAATGTATGTTAAATAAAGCATTACAAACTGACATACCGTCTATTCAGACTGGAACAGGAAAGTAGCCAAAAGCACAGCAGAGAGCAGCATAAATGAATGTAAACCACAATGTATGACTATTTGGGTGCTAATACTCCCAACCCTGGGATAAGCCTTGGAGACAGAAGAGATGAAAAGGAAAACATTTAAAAAGAAGAAGGCCTCTGTCAACAGATGGTACTGGAAAATGATTTTAGGTTTGGACTGCAGTGTCAGCACATTCTTTCGTAACTGGCAGTATGTTTGAAACATCACGCTACCTTGCATGTTTCCTCGGCAGAAACCCCTTGGACGGTAGCCTCTGTCAGACGACTGAATGATATTCATTAGCCTGACACAGCGTCCTTAGCTGAACTCACATTGCCTGATAGCATGACCTTAGAACACACTGCATCAATTCACTCATCTTATAACCTTTTATACCTCACAATGTTCCCTACATGTCTTTGATAAATTCAAGTTAAAGAGGCTCCAAAACATGCTCATATTTTGGAGTACGTGCGAGCGACATGATTTAACATCAAGCACACAAAAAACTCTTTATATTTGCTTAAATGCTCACTTTACATGTCAATTAGATACTCAGACATTTGACACATCAACCATGTCATGCTAACAACATGAATAACCCACGTATATGTTGCAGTATCATGAAAATGATTTCCTCCCATTATCGGTTAATCTAAATTTTCTGAGGACAAAATTGGTTTTGTCGTACATTTGCTTATGAAACTGATACACCTCTGGCTGGAGTGGCTCTTGGCTATTTGTTTGAAAACTATTTTATTACAGTTAATAAAAGTGCTCTACTTTTTCCCTTCAATCTTAGTTTATGATTAGTACCTCTGAAACAGAGCTGTGGTCAGTCAGTGCCCCAAACTCAGCCTGCTATTACACACAACTCCAATTAGCCAGCTCACCCTCGCTTTCAATAAGGGGTTATTCTGAGGAGTTATTTTTTAAACACAGACATATGTTTATCTCTAAAGCGTATTTAGAAAGTGAATTTTAAATGGTAGGACCAGATCATATGTGTGGTCTAGTGAGCTAAAAGAAAAAACAATAAAGCTAGAAGAAATACTGCAAAAACTGCAATCATATAAATTATTACAGACAATTTGCTACTTTTATGACCTTAAACCTTTGATTAAATCTGAAGGGTTTTCTGATTGGATGAAATCACTAATGACCTTTGACCTCTTACAAGCTTTCAAGTGTTTTGACAGCTCCCTCGTATTTTCCCCAAAGACTGCACACCATAAATTGGCACCACGAGGCAGCTATATGTTACTGCAGGACTACCCACATTGCAATACTCAAACAGGAAATCTGATCTGAGAAGTCTCAAAATCATGATGTTTCCTGTTTTGCCCTGTTTGCCTGTAGCCATTCAAGGATGGCTTGATGTTCTATATGAGAGTGTTGTATTCCTCCACCTGATTATTTCCAGATAACCACTGTGACTATGGATAGATCAGGCAACTTTATGTAGTCTAACTGAGGGAGATATGGAAGACTGACAGAGAATCATGGAACAGACTGCTTAAAAATATCCCGAAGTAGTGGTTCTGCAAATCCTGCTGATCCCGCTCGATGGATTGTCTTACAATGCCTCACATAATAATTCAGTAATTTGAATTGCAAATGTTTTTCTGGAGCAGAATAAGTAAGTATAAATAAGTATTCAGTACGACAAGGGTATCTGTTAAACATGTGTAGGCATATGTCATGCAATGCATGTTTCATTTCCATGCATTCTATCAGTCAGGGGATTTGTATTTCTGTGAATTCAGTTTAGTTTAGCTGTAATGATTCTTCATTCTTCTGAGCTGCAGTTTCTGTTTTATTCATTAATGATACCGAGAGAGTTTGTCCAAAGCCAGGGCTGGTATGCCAGCACCTTAGCCATGCATGGTACGACAATAATTACAAACCCAGGTTCTGAACTGATGTGATCCCCTTCATAAGTGTGAGTGAGCCAAGCCAAATCAAATGCTTTAATATACAAGTTTTAAAGTCCTCAAGCATATGTAGGTCATTTTCATTTGCCCTAGTAATAAATTGGATATGGAAGCAAGTGCTCACTTAAAAGGCATTTTAAAATGGGTTTCCCATTTGAAATATCTGTCAGTGTGCCTTATACTGTAGCATCATCCTTATCTTAGATTCACTGGGCATTATCGATTAAACGTAAGTAAAACCTCTGCAAACACCAATATGTTCATAGGCCCTACTTGTAAGTACAGTTTAAGTGAGGGAACAAGTGAAATACAGGTGAGGTTGTGCAAAGTCCTTATGTGAAAATGATTTGGGCGTGTCCATGCAAATTACCAACAGGCACACACTCCCTCGATTGGACTAGCCGCCATCTTTGAAACTGTCAACATAATAAGGATGATTGTTTGAATTAGTGATGGGAAGTTCGGATCATTTTACCGACTCGGACCTTTGAGTCTCGTTCAGCAAAATGAACGAATCTTTTTTCGAGTCATTTCGTTCATTTTAGCAAAATATAATTAAAATATTACGTGTTACTTCCCTAACACATCTACTACTTACGCAAACGTTGATCACACTACAAACAATACAAAACTGCTATAAGAAACAGAAAAGATTAATTCATTGTTTACCTGGGTCTTCAGTCTATGATTAGCTCACCTCACCTCTTATCTGACAAGTCTTCGGGTTTTTCGAGTCGTTCATTCATCACGGGACAGCCCCATACGCTTTAACCAATGCAGTCTGAGCCGGAAAGAGAATTGATTAGTTCATCATTAATGCAACATCCTATAGGTCATCTGATTAAGGATGTTGTATGTTCCTGCACAACCGGAGGCTGCAGTTTCAGGACCGCAGTTCTAGGACCCTATTCTTTTG